AGACCCTTTTAGTAAGTTAGGTTAAACACCATGCTTTCATTATTGCACCATGATGGAGAACCCTTTTAGTTTAGTAAGGTAGGTTAAAAATGCTTTGATTAATGATGAAGACCCTTTTAGTAAGTTAGGTTAAACACCATGCTTTCATTATTGCACCATGATGGAGAACCCTTTTAGTTTAGTAAGGTAGGTTAAACACCATGCTTTGATTATCACACAATGATGGAGAACCCTTTGAGTACAAGTTAGTTTGACTATCACACCATGATGAAGGACTGTGTTAGGAAGTTACTCTATCTTTTTGTCTCCAGGTCTGCTGGGCCAGGTGCCTCAAAGCCAAATTATCATTAATCCTATAAGACAATGTACAAAGGAAATAATAGCTCAATACACCTTCACGTTGCTCTAATACATCTATTGATAAATACACTTATATCCTAGTCATTTCAGTCGCTCAGTTTGTGAACTTTACCATGAATTGAAAACAATTGTTYAAAAGTTCAAGGACAATAAGTGAATTGCTATTATCATTTTGATGATACAATTAGTACTTAATATAATCATGGTTGATTCATTCTCGGTGAATTACTCTTACTGACTGCTTTAAAACTGTGTTTTATTGTCCACAGAACATGGTTGTAGGTGCACCATTTCTGTTTGGGGCTGGCTCAGTAATACTAGCTTTACTGTTAGCATTCTTCATCCCTGATAATGCAAGTCTTAGTGGCAATAGTAGATCACCTACTAGAAAGGAATATGTCTACTCAGGRGGGACATTGGACAGTGTTACCAAAGAGGACACTTCAGATAATGTGCCTTTGCTCTTACAAGAAACATCATAGTATTAGATATTGAAATTTTATGAATATTGCAAGCAAATTCACACATCAAAAGACTTCATGACTGAACTGAACTATGTTCATTATTACTATTATTATGATATTAAAATATCCAGTACTATTTACCAGTCAATGATATTTTGAAACTGCKTAGTGTTTGAGTACTGTTTTTAGTGAAATACAACTTCTATATCTAATCCATATATTTCTATACATAAAGCAAACTACAATTAATGCATGAAACACATTTTCACAAACCCATCAAGTATACTTTTATATAATGAAGATATAGGAGTAAGAATCTAATTATAGGGTCCACAGTTGTTTATATGTAACAATTTTATTTTCAACAACAATTTTCTTATTACTCTAGCCTGCATAGGGGCTCTATAGGATGGGGGAAGGGGGGAAAGCGTTTTCCCCCTCCCCCCCTCCCCTAGAGCCAATACTCAGGCTATTATATTATCACTCCATAGTTCATTTTTGTCATGCAGTTTCAAATAGTCTTATCTGAAAATGGACTTATGAATATGCAATTATTATATATATAATAAGATGATTTATCAAAATAAATACAAAGTTCTATTATATGTTCTGTTCTGTTAT